GACCAATTTTGTGTTCTCCATTCTTTAAGCACCGGTTTGAGCACCGTTTAAGCACCGGCACCGTTTCAAAAGTACCGGTTTGGCACCGGTATCAGATAAAACTTAAACAATACCCATCCCTAGTTCTCAGTTCTTAAGAAGAAAGCGAAATTCACTTTTTACCCCTCAGTTGCAAAAGGCTGATGGGTTATTGTCATCACCCCGCCAGGCGGGCAGGTGGACAAGATTGTGAATGAATAACTGGAGAAGGAGGTGATGCGGGGTTTTGAAATTGATACCATATGTGCATCTACTGAAAACCTTGGACAAATTCAAATATCAGTGAACCTTGATCCCGAGGTTGAAGTCAAAGGTCACATTTTCTGAATATCTTGAGAATGCAATAACTGAACATGGAAGTCACGAATGATAAAATTTATACCACGTGTGCATCCACTAAGAGGCTGAGGCGTGGCACTGGCAGCTACCACTATTTTTATTTTTATTTATATAGCATCAGTTCACAACAACTGTTGCCTCGTGGCACTTTGTATTGTAACGGATGTGAACAATCCCCAATCAGCAACATTCAGCCACAGTGGCAGCAATGAACTCCCCTTTAACAGGAAGAGACCTCCAGTGGAAGCAGACTCTGATTTTTATGGGGAAAAAGTTGTCCAGAGCATACATAAAAATACAACTAGGAAATGTTTGAGTGCCCTGGAAATAGTTTAAAAGGACAATTCCAGACATTTAGTTGAGTAACTATAGCCACTAATGTTAATGTTTGGACCACGTTTGACAGTTAGGGTTGGGAAAACTGGTGATAGCAATAATAAAGCTCAAGGCACCTACAGCTCAATGTCTCAACTGTAAAAAAGTAATTCAAAGATTATAAGTTTGTGTATATTATAAATATTAAAAAATTATTATAATGAAAGCCTTTGATTATATAAGAGTGTTTACACACAGTGTACTCCTGCTTTAGCTTTTGGGCTCTTAAAATAGATTCAGCCCACTTTCTTCTCATAGACACAGACCTTTTCTTTTCTTAAAGCTGCCATGTGAAATATGTCTCAAGGTATTTAATAGAAGCCGAATAAGGGAGACATCTGACACCGTGTGAGATTATAGAAATGAAAATTAGATTTCTCTTAGTGAATCCAACTTAGCCCTGGAAATTGTCAATTTTAGAGGCGACAAAACCCAGTTACACTTCCATCTCAGCAGGGTCTGTGCACCTGCACTCCTTTTATTAGAACCTGTGGGGTTCAGCCCATTACATCAACCTATCTTAAATCAATATGTAGTGCTTCTCTGCGGGATTAGTGCTTAAGTGTAATGGTAAGGCAATTATCCTTCTTTAACTCTGGTCTTGGTCTGCCTGTGTTACTCAGACAAAAGACAGACATACACTTGCACCTATAGAATGACTCCTATAAACTCATTTAATGACTCGTTAAATGTTCACATTGTGGATGTCCAGATGGAAACATCAAGAGTTGGATCTTGGACTTAGTTTGACTTAAGCGAGAAGACTTTTTATGTGGTTGTGCAGTTTTTTTCATGCCCCACATACATTTTTATGTCATTTTAAGTGTTAGTGTGCTTGTATTGCTTTTCTCTGCTCCACTATTGTTGTTGAATGTGTTTGTATGTTGAAAAATATGAATAAAGTTCACTTGACTTCACATATCAGTGTTTTTATCATTTATTCTTATTTTTAACAATAAAAAAACAGCGACCACAATGAATTTTAATTTGATAAAGGGAGGAGAGACGTACCCATTCATGCTCACATGTGTTGGTTCCTCACCCCACCGGTGGGGACTGCCCACGATCTTAATCTTAATTCATGATCTACTTAATCCGGTCGTTAAGTGATGACGTGACGAATACTTCCGGGCCTAAAGTATAGTCTGCATTTAATATGGCTTTTGTTTTGTTAACATGTTTAATGTTTTGCATTCTCTTCTATTTAACCTCAAAAACCTCCTAAAACAGTCAGTGATCACTGTTGACCTCCCTCGGCTTTTATTACGGCTAATCATTTATTTAAGCTTAGGATCTAACTACAGCCCAGTCCATGCAGCAGTATATGAATGACTAACCTCGTATTGTGGATGGATTATCTCAGTTGTTCTCCTGGCTGAAGTTTGGTCCTTT